CCCAAACTATTCGTCCGCTCGAAAATATGTCTCCGAAACATACTTTGTGCATACATATATATATATATATATATATATAAACGTATATACACATAAGAGTGGACCGGAACATTTCTTTTATCTCTTATCTTGTACGTTGTGTTACACTGAGTTACTATAAACACCAACGTGATACGCTTAAAAATGAACGACATATTTAACATCAACAATTTCCAACTCCTTTCTTCCGTCCTTTATAATCAGTTAGTCTGATTCAAATGAAATAAAAGAATGATTTAGCGATGAAAAGGACTTCTTCACAGTCGACAAATGAGGAAATTCGGTACTTGATGGTGACAGATAAAAATGAATACAACAAGCATTGTTATAAAAAATTAATTAAATATTTATCATTATTATTATAATGCATATGAAAAATTCCTTCATTATGGGAGTTGTATTTTATGTTGGTCATCAAAATTTAATTAATTCGAACGTCCCCAGTGAATGGGACGTCAAACTCTCAAGTTTCAATACACGACATGAAAAAGAGAAAAGTGACAAAAAAAGGGTGCAGAATGCGAACGAGGGAACACAAGAAGAATCTGAAGGGCGATCAGCCGCCAACATAGCACTCGTTGGTGTGAAGGTTCGTACACGCGTGAAGCCTGAGGGAATTGAATTTCTTGATGCGTGATGCCGGTACACGATGCATCACCTGTTACGTGTAGGATTCTTAATAAACTCTCAATACTTTGTCTCAAAGCAGCATCCCTCATTCAAGAATTTCATTTGACAATAGAATCTACCATTAATTACGTTGACATTTTATTTCAAGTAGCTAACTAATTTAACATTTTTCAACTATTGATTAAATGTCGTTGCTGTGTAAAAGAACTTGAAAGTGGAAAATAATTTTAGAACAATTAAAAATACGTCTTTTCGAAATAAACTCTTTCATTAATGATGACAATTATCTTTTATTAAACAAAGTTATCGAAGATGATTACAGATGAAGAAACGATTTGGAAAGTAGTTGTTTTATTTAAGCTTGAAATCGAATATTGAAATAATTAAGCGACAAAAGGGTGAGGTATCTAAAAGAGTTAAGAGAATTGACGAGCGGATATCCGTAAGAAAACGAAAAGAAGGAGATATTCCGGTGAATTGTGTGGCTTTATTTCTATTGTATATTGTATTCGATGGGAATATCGATTCTTGCAGTGACCAATGTAGTGGCGAGTAAGCTCTTCTACCTCATTTTTTTCCATCTCTGGTATCTCTCACCCTCGGGTTTTGCTCTATAGTCGTTTTCATGTAAAAGAAAATAAATTATTGATATCCACCGCAGGCGAGATAGTAACACATTGTCACGAGAGAGCGAATTACAATTCTGTTTTCTTTTGTGACCTTTTGTGTTGCTACACATACACACACACATACACTTTGTTTTTTAAGTTCATGTTTATTGTAAAAACATTTATCGCCAGACACCCAACGATTCACTTTATCGTGCAAGCTCTTAGCTTAGGGTGGTGCCTCTATGTCGCCAATCCACCTGTCCATTTATACATTACTCTCTCCACCAAATACCAATATGCTAGTGTAACTGACTATTTCAGTGCAGTATTTTTGCATCGCGTGTTGATACATCCACTACTATTTCAGCCGCTTGTCGTTAACTTTATCAATTTTATAATTCTACGGGAGTCAATGTAAAAGGAGAGTATGGTTTTAGTCGGCAGAGCGTCAACGAAATAGGCTTGAGGGAACATGAGAAACCTGACACGAGAACTTGTGCAGTGTAAATATGTTTCGTGTGTATATACTCGAGACTCACAGCACGTACGTCAACTTGAATATCATTCTTTGAGTGTTATCAGCCGTGAAATCGGCATCGATATTATCAAGTCGCAAGAAGAAACGACAGGGAAGGTAAAAGTAAAGGAATAAAAAATATCAGAATCCTTGCTCTTGAATATTCCATTCCTCGAATCCTATTGGCGTGTTTCTTTGTGGACAAACGGTCGATTATTCTTCGTTTTCTTAAGCGCGGCAATAATACAGATAAAAGAAGCATTTGCATTGTATTTCTAATGAGAGATACAAAATCCTATAAAATGCTACTTCAAGTTACATTCAATGAGAATCAATTGCAGTTGCCCACATTCGTGTAATTGGTATAATTGTTTTACGTTGGCAATCATTTCATTCTATTATTTCTGAAGTTTAAATTATCCATACGTTTTTTGTCCACGCATCATTACAAACCCCTTTTTTTACCAATTTAGTTTATCGAAATAATAATAATAATAATGTGTTATTCTTGATTGTTTGTTAATTTTTAATTAAATTTCAAAGAAATGCCAGTTAATTGACGTGACTTGTTACGTGCGACGATATCAACAATAGAAATCGATACCATTATTTTTTATTGCAATTTGCTATGCAAGAATAGGAGTAATAGCATAATGCATTGTGATATCAAAAACAAAACAATTGAAATAATTATTGGAATATAGAATAGAGAGATGGAAGATATAGATTTCGTCTCAATATCAGTTTAATTAGTATTCGTGAAAATAGTTGTGTGGTTTTGATCATAAAGGGAATTGAAGGAAAAAAGCATGTAGTAATCCTTTGAGAGTAATGAATATTTATTTATGACCCTTTTGAAGATTTGCGGTTGAAAAAGGCTTTATTTTCAATCTGGGAAATAGAGAGAGAAGTGTCGAGTCGTGCGACAATTAACCAGTGGCGCGAGTACGTTTATATGTCGCGCTCTTTACCCTCCAACACCCGTAACGAACACAGACATGCGGGCGACATAATGCAAAACAATTATGCTCAAAGATATTTATGAGTCGGAACACAAAACGCTGTGACTCTTCTACATGTTATTCGCGTTTCATTCCTCTCCTCTGTACCTATCTTTCTCTGGTGGTGCTGTGATTTTTGCACGCTCTGTTGTGTCGCGAATCGGGTGTGAAGCCATCGCATGCATTCACGGTAATAAACACGCGAGGGGCGCGTTCCATGCCCAATTGTTTGCTGGAGACAATTTATGACTTGAATTCGTTTGAACCAAAAAGACAACCCGGCAATACTCGTTTTTTCTAAAGAACAATGAAGCGACAAGCAAATGTAGCTTCCCTACTCTCTAACGTTCAACAAAAAAGTAATCGCCAAGAGAAGCTCAAAATTCCATCGGTACCACCGTGTGGTCAGAGTTCAAAGTCCGCGAAGACGAAGAAAACCTTTCATATTATATAGTATGGTTTCTTTTTAAAACCCGCGGTTCTTTCTTTTCAAACAGTCTCTTCGACCAATGCAATAAGTATAGTGTTGCAGTTTCGAACAACGAATACCGCCAGCACATACATTTGCAAACGAAACAAAGTGAACAGCTGGCTTTTTTTCACACTCACTTTAAGGTCAAAGGTGTTTTGGAAAAAAAATAAAATTAGGCACTGATGTGCGTGACTGGCTCTGACTCATGCACCAACCAAATCTCTATTACTTCCACACTCTTGCACTAACGTCACGGAATAACTTAAATTAAATTTTAATAATGATCAATGTACTGAAATAAAATAAAAATAAAGATGTATCTTTTATGAGCAAACAATAAGCTTTCGTGAGTCGCTAATTTTCAATGCAAGTTTCATTTGGATTATAATACATTGTTGATGGCAAATATTTGATATCAAATTTAGTTTCAATAATATTCTATGTAATTTTTTTATCATCAATCTCGTACAATTAAAAAAAAAAGAAAAAAAAAGGTTTAAATTCATTTTTTCTCGGTATTTTATTTTGAGTTAAGAAAATCCGTGAATTATTGGCATAATGGTAAAATGATATGCTGATTTTTCTTTATTTTCTTCATCTCAACTTTAGCATCATTCAATACCAAGTTTGATTTGCTTTGCGAAACTTGATAGTAATAATTCTCACATTTCTTTTGATAACATTCTCTCCATAGTTATTTACTTACAGTTTGAAACCAGATTTGCTGCTTGATGAGGTGTAAACTTCATTTTAGCGACTTCACCAAGTTAAATAAATCGAAGCAAGTTGGAATATTAACATCGTATTTAATTGAACCATCACCTACTTATATGTAAAGTTCTCATGCAATATCTGTCAGAGTGGATAGACGATCAAGTGTAATATCTATTTTATAAAAAAATAATAGACAATTTTTGTTAGCATGATTCACTAAGTAGCCTATCAGTTATAAAGCTTTTTTGTCGTGATATATCCTATCAAGTCAGACATAATTTGTACTCGTACGTTGGCTCTATAAAAAAATGTCTTCAAATTATGGCATATCATGAATCTACCAACGCTAGTGGCATCAAACAACCCTTACGAGTACACGCAAGTCGATCAATTTCACATCATCGCGCGTTGGCAAAGCCGTCAGATGAATAATATTCGTGGGTACATATACCCGCAAGCTATTCACTCCTGTGGTAAAGTGTCAGGTTAACAAGAAGCCCGATAAGCGCGGGAGAATTCCGAGGAATTTGCTTCCGCGATTATTTTTATTATTTTTATTGACAATAAGTAACAAAGAAAAAATAAAATGGCTCATCAAAAATAAAGAAAAAAATTTTTAATAGACAATTTACTTTCTAATTTTGATTAAAATTAATTGAAAAGTGATGAATAGTTGTTTTTTATTTGCATGTTCCAACATTATGTAAATGAACGGACAATAAATGAGAATTGTCAAAAAGGAAAAATAAAAGTTGATAATATAAAGAAAATGGATAGTAGCAAAACCTGCTTTATTTTTCTCAACTGACAGCAACTAGTTCTTTTGTACGTTAGCTAATTATTTAAATTTAGGTAGACAAGAAAATAAGTGTTGTAATTATCTTTTCTGAAATATCCGGGATGAATTAATTAAAGAGATAAATAATTCAAAACCCTGCTGATATAATTATGATACTTTTTTGAAGTCTTTGTTTACGGACTTTGATTAATGTCTACATTTTTTATCTGTTCTACAGGACCGGCACGTAAAAGATTCAAATAGAGACCCGGCGATGGATTCAAGTCAGGACTACCACCTGCTACTGGGCTACGAGAATAAAACCCATACTGTATTGCGATTCAGTCGACAGTACGACACGTGCGATCCGCGAGATTTAAAAATCACGGTAAGTACTTCACTTATAGTCGAGATACAATCAACCTCTCTGCATAGGAATAGGCTCGAGAGAGGAAGAAAGAAAGATTGCTTCATATGTTCTACTGCAATGTTAAGTTAAATTCGCCTCCGTTCTCATGATGCTTGTTTCTATATACTTATTCACGGTCTTGTAATAGCTACTTTCCGGACTCGATTCGCTTACCCGCGTACTGACGGGAAACATTTATATTTATGCAAGATAAAATACGTGACACGCTTAGATTCTGATATGTATGACGATCACTTAAAAAAAATATTTATAATTTATTTCGTAATATGAAAATACTTGTCATGATTATGAAGTAATCGGTTCGTTCTTTCATACTTCAAGTAGCCGACTGGTTTTTGTGATTTATGCCGCCATAAAATATCAGCAAAATGGCTGATTATAATAAATTCTTCTGATATAAGAAGCAATATTTTTTTCTCTTTCTTATAGTTATTTTGAAAATATTATTACAAGATTAGAAATAAAATGAAAGAAATATATGTAACAAGTTTGAAGAATAGAACAATGAGAATGTAATTAATTTAACAGATTTAAAACTGACATAAAAAGAATTTTAATGCTTAGATTCGTCAACGACAACATGGTATAATATAATCCTTGAGCGACGTTTCATTAAATCCAGCACATTTGCCGTAAGGCAAAACAATTTTGTTGCGTCAAACTTCTGTTTTTCCCGTTTTTCATTTTTCATCAGAACTCAGAAGTACATGAAGAATTTGTCTTATATACGTTTTCTACGATAGAAAATTGTCTCGCCGTCTTTGCGGAAGACATGTATGATGGTTGAATGATATTTTTCATAGCGCATCCAACTTGCTTGAGGCCAAGTTTTTCTATGTTTGTTCACTCTCACATTATAAGCTCCAGAAATCGAGATTTGCATTTCATCTACATAAATGTATATACACACTGTTACAAGAAAGAAATGTACAGGTTTACATCGATACATAATACTCTAGTTCAATCTCCATCATCAATCCTTCATAATAACTACACATGTCTGTGCTAAGCAAATTGGACCGTTTGCGAATGAGAAATTGATCTGCATTGTGTAAGGTACAATCAGCAATATGCTGACATTGTAATACTGCATTTCAATGTAAAGAGTTTATTGTTGACGACTTGAAAAAAAAAAAATCAGATCTTTTTCCATTAACTGTGATTTATTTCAGCATTTTGTTTGCTACTGTTATTTACATATGAAAACATTTTATTTAATATTAAAATAAATTTTTTAAAGTGATTAAAATATGATGAATGCGCTTTTTTATGTTTATATTTCTGTTTTATTATTTTATATACTGAAAAAAAATTAATTACTAAAGTCAAGTACCAGAATGAAGTAGCACATTGATGACATTTTTTCTACAACTCTAATAACAATTTTCAAGCATTAAGTATATTAATTAAAAAAAGTTTATATCAATATACATATAGACATGACTTTCTACCTTTTTTCAGCATGCTTTCAATTTCTATACATTCTCTTTCTTTTTTCATAGTGTCTGTAGAATCGTTCCGCTCCGATTACTTCTTCCTCCTTGTACTTTGTAGCATATACTGCACTGTGAACCTCGTTGAGTTTATTTCTAATTAGTCAATTACACTGATTTCACCATCGACTCGAGTTGTGAATTGCATAGTCATCTTTGCACCTGCAGATGTGCCACGAGCCGAACGTCCAATAAAAGAGATATACGTATGGGGCTGTGATAAAAATCATCAGTCCTGCCCCCATCGAGATATTACTTTTTTAAACAAGTTATTTCTCTTTCTATTTCACTCATCTTTTGTCTCTCATTGATCACCACATAGCCTGTAAACCGAAACCCTAAAGAATCCCTACGACGATCTTGATATTTTGATTCCTTCCTTTTATGCAGATGTATAAAAAGGGTCGTTCAATATATCTCTTTTGTTTTCCAATTCACTTGGTCCTTTAGAGTGGATAATATATATTTTTTCTGTTTTATAGAAAGTTTTTGCTAGTAAAATATCTCAGACCCCGCATATAAGCAGTTAAGATGTCAATGTGAATAAGTGGGAGAAGGATGATATATTTTAAATTTTTAAAAAATGTCGACATCTGCTGTAAAAAATGAGGGTAGATAAATGTGCTTTTTCGTTCGAGTGTTAATGACAAAATTTACAAACTAGGACCTAAAATAAAGGACAACAGACCACCCAGGGTACACTGAGCCTCTTTTAGAATGAAATATGCTTGGCGCCAATTGACTACCCTCATAAGAAAAAAATTTTTTCCTTTTAATTGTTAATTTATGAGTTGAAATAATTAATTTCTTTTCTTTAAAATCAATAGATAATTATTGTCACAATAATTAAATAACATAAAAGAGCTGTTTAACATTTTACTTGCTTTAAATAATTAAGATACGATCAAGAATAAATTCATACAAAAATGAGATTAAAATTCCTAGAAATTTATTTGTTAAATATTTTAGCAAAGAGACCCATTTAGAAAGAAAATAATGGAATTGTTCTGTAACTAGGGCAATTTTATATGCAAAGCAAACAGAAAATTTACCCTATATGTTATGGCGACTATCTGATCGCGTGACAGATCTAAAATTCTTTGCACGTTGGTTTTTCAGATCTCTCATCTCTATCCTTCTATCTCTTTCAGTCTATTCCAGTTGATTTAATTGATCAACATATCTATAAAAATATAGTATACATATGGCATGTGATATTTTATTCAAAATTATTGCTGAGGTTATATTCATACAAATTACTAGGTTCATAAATCGAGATTCATATAATAAAGTACATTTGTTATGATAACTCATTAATGAAGATTTTATCATAATGCTTTTGTCGACTATTTTATTTTGAGTTTTGTGAAACAAACTTGCTTAAGTAAAGTCTTTATATCCCATTATAATCTGGCACGCATGTGACTTGCTTTTATATTCGATTGTGGTACAAGAGTTGATTGCGTATAAGGTATAATATCACTGCGTGCTTAAACGTATAAATATAAGGGTAGATCTTTCAGAGTTAGATAGCATTCAGCTAACGCCTCCAGCTTTATAGGTACCAACTAGTATTATCTGATGGGCGGTTCAAGACTGTGTATCTTCGACAATAGAGAATGAAATTGAAGTTACCATTGTATAAAGCAATTGTAGCACGCGAGTTTCTCTTGTTCTCCAGACCTAAATGTTCTTCAACCTTCAATTCTGTCTCACTGAAATACGATTAGATATTCAGACATTCCACATTTGGATAATCCAGTAATACCTGTTACGATATTTCTGTCATTAATTTATTCATTAACTAAATATCCTTGTAATAAGTCTTCTAATGATATTAAATGACAGCTAAAAAGAGAAAGGTATTTTTTTCAGATAGTCGGCATTGAGAATGGATTTTCAGTATCAACGTAAATAACTGAAAAGAGTAAACCTTAATGGAAATTGATAGTGAATTGAAACAATAGTTTGGAAATTCTATTTTGAATATAAAGAATGGCTCGTGCAAATTTTCAGATAGATAAATGAACACTGATAAAATGTTAAAAAAAATATAAGACATGCGATCAGTTAAGGGTGGAGTAGCTTTAGACGCAGAATACTCGACAACAGCAGCACATGAAATCGATAGGGAGATTGGTGTGTCTCTCAATTGAAATTGGTTTGCTGACCTCGTTTCACTTCCATCCTGTTCTGCTACCATTGGGAGAAATATTTTAGTTTCAGGACGTAAAATGTAGTTGAAACGAAGGAAAACTCTGTAAATTTTTCTTAGCAATCTTCTGTTACTTGAATGATTGCCCATGGTCAATGGGTTTTTAAATGTCATCACCTAGAAAATTTAATATTTCAATCAATTGAATTAAATAAATATTTTCAGTGAATAATTAATATAAATTATTTGAATAAATAATTGAATTTTCAAGAGTAGAATGAAAAATTTAAAAGTATTCTTTTTAGTTTCACGATAATTTATTTACACTTTTAATAGTTATTCATCGCTAGTTTTTCTTGGAGATTCCCAATTGGTTTAAAATTCAATAGTTAAAATTAACTTTAAAAAGTTTACTCAAGGGTAACACTCAATATTATTCTTTTAGACTAACTGTATACTTTTTTTTATTTTTTTTACTCTTTTCTCTGTCAAGAAATTTTCAACCAGCTCAGAACTTTTCTACTTGCACTGGCTATAGTACTTGGGAAGATCTAAAACTTTTACATTCTCTTTAATTTTTCAAATTTATTTATTTTTAACTTTTTCATCAATTGTTCTAAACAATAAATAATTAGTAATTATTAAAATAAATTATTTAATCGTATCTTGAGTTTATTTGAATAGTAAGTAAAATCAATTGTACCTGTATTTATAAATTTATAAACATGAATTAAACAAATGACGACGTCATGCACTTGAGTGTGGTTGTCGATATTACCTTAGTTGAGAGCAAAGTTTGATTAAATCCTTCCATTTTACGATGAGTATGGATGAGTAAGTAGGTTTAGAGTTTAGAGCGAGAAAGAGGTTTGAAGGGATACAGATCATGTATATATATACACATACCATAGAGAAAATGGTTGGTAGCTTTCAGTTTATTACTGAGAACGGATGGAGAAGTAGTAGTTGCACTAGTCGGGGTCACTTACTGCGGCTTCGTTGATCCCTACTGCCACGTAGGACAACAGCTAGACTCCTGTAGACGTAGACTATTATACAAGACTTAAGCTCAAATCCTTTGATCCAAAGCCGTAAAAGAAAATCCGAATTTGCAGTTCTACAATTGTTTCAAAATTCAATTTAGCCTTGTCAATATCCTGAAAGTTGTCTTTTTTTTCTTAGCCATTCTATTACCGAACCTGTACTGGGTTTAATGAAGTACCGTTCGATCAAGCAAAGGAGTAATTGAGCTATTTGCTTTTTTCTTTTGCCTTACACAATTAAAATAAAATAATAATTGAGTTGTTGAA